ACACCCAGTGCGTGGTTAAAGGGTGAACATTCCGACAAATGAAGGAAAGCGATCGAGAGAAGAGAATATATATTTTCACTTTGTGCTTTCCTTTTTATGATTGGTTCATATTATTTTACAGGCTCGAATACTCCATATACTTATATTGCGATTCATTAAATATTGCAATTTTATGTCCCATTAAACTTAAAGATGATGAGGTTCAGATTCACTTTAAATGAAATTCTATATAAAATTTAGCTGAAAAGTAATTGACGTGACTATTTTTTTTGTTGAAATTTCCCACCATTTTATTTTTCTTGTGAAAATTGAATTGACGTCAACAGTTTGGGTAATATAACAAATGTAGTCTCAACCCGTGTAACACATTGACGTCTTGCTAGCACTAGAAAAAGAAGGAGAATTCTTAGAATAATCTCTTCCATTTCCCTTCGAACATTAAAAAACCAAAGGGATAAGTGCACTAGAAGTCCTCAAAATTGTTGCCAAAGCATAATTGAGTCCCAAAACTTTTAAAAAATACAATCAAGTCTTAAAACTTGTCAAATTGGTGCAATCGAGTCCTTCTGTTAATATCATCAATTTTTCTAACGAAAATTACCGACGTGACATTTTTTAATTAATTTCTCTCTCATACGTGGCATTTTGTTCATTGTTTTATTTTTCAAATCTTATTAAAATTAGATTAAAAATTTTAAAAAGCTAAAAATTCATTTTTTGGTCAAATCAAAAATTTATTTTAAAAAACAAAACTGGAAAAAAAAATGGCAGGGCCTTGCCAATGAGGCACCGCCGCCGGCCCCATGTGAGGGCTAGCGTCGCCTAGATCTGGGCGAGCCTTGCTGGTCCTAGGTGAGGGCCGACAAGGGTTGTGGGCCCTCGCTTGGGGACATCAAGGCCTCGACTTGGGCGAACGATGGTCATTGGCCCCGAGTGAGGACCGGCGTTGCCTAGATCTGGGTTGGCTAGCCTCACCGGCCCTTGCCTGGGCCAGCGAGGCCTCGCTCGGTGCTGGCGAGGGCTAGCCACCGTTGCCTAGGGTTGGCAACCTCCGCTAGCCCTCTGACGATAGGTGGTGGCGCCTCATTGGTGGGGCCCTGCCTTTTCGATAAGAGTAAACCAAAAGAAAATAAAAATAAAATCATACACCCAAAAGAATAACATGCGGGTACAAGAAATGTCTCGTGACTCGTGAGCCTTATCGTAAGGTAATATCTGTGTTAATAGCTCTTGCTTTAGCTTGAACCCTTCACTACGTTATTCTCTTCCAAGTCTCTGCATTCACATTGTCCAGAAAATGAAAACCACTGGGATATTGGAGAAATAAAAAAAAAAAAATTCTGTTTGGCAACTTGCATTACGGAGTCTTGTATCTATCATGCAAACCAGCTCTCTCTCTCTCTCTCTCTCTCTCTGAATATAAGATTCAAATGCGATGGGAACGGGGAAGATCTGATATATAAACAATACCTAAAGCGATGAAGTCTGTGTAACTCTTCTATGTAGTGCATCGCCTAGCTTTTAATGAAGCGGTTTGATGTACATTTGATTTTATAAATGGATGAATCATTTTAATTAGGATATAAGATATGTACCATTTATTAACTTCACAAATGACTCGAGCTTCTACTAAAATCGGCAACGTACTTAAATTTGTAGATAATTCATTTGAAGGAAATAACCAAAATAAATTATGTAGCTAAGGTTTCTTTACCCGAGAAGTTCAAATCATTAGAAAACGATATGATTCCTGCTTATGTTTTAGTAATTTCGTAGGAAAAAGGAAAATGCCGTTTGAGGTCAATTTGAGGCTGTACTAATTGGACCACATTATTTCTCGCCTGTTTCACAAGTTAGCTCAGATGTGATCAAATCAACCGTCTTGATTCTCTGTGCATAATCCAAGACTAGATTTTGATGAGGGAAAAAAATGGAGATTTACCAATCATTTGTGCCTTTTCATTTTGAGGTTTCTTACAACATATATTCAAAATGTGCACATTTAAAATTCCTGAAAAAGAGGTCCGGGATCCCATTGAACGACTTCTCGTCCTGGTTCATCAGCACAACAGACTCTGGAATCTCGCCGGCCAGCTCGTTGTAGGAGAAGTTGGTCCGTGGGATCTCGCTGGAGAGCCAGTTGTGGGACTCGCACAAGTTTCTTCGGTGAGAAAATTGCATCTGCAGGGTGCATATCTAAGCATTATAGTCAGGAAGTACCACCTTAACAGGAGATCAAGTACAGAACATTGGATCCTTTGGAAAGAAAGAATATAATGTTGTGAAGCTCGCATCTGCAGTTGGGCACGGGTTCCTTTAGATCAGCATCAGCATGAGTTGAAAAGAGAGAGAACAAAGAGAAGAAGAAAGAAGAATGTGGGACCTGCAAGGAAAGAAAAGGAAGCAGTCGAACCAAAAGAGGGACAGCAGGGGAAATATGGGAAAAACACTGTAAAAAGGAGTGTTAAAGCGAAAATCGGGGTGGAAATAGCGCGGCCCAATGTTAAAATGACCTCTTCGGATAGGACGGTGCAAGCAGTACGGCTCTATGGGTGATATTTTCAGAGCTTCCTCGCCACAAATGAACCTTCTGTATTTACGTTCATCTGAGTCCATAGCCATTCCTTCATGTCGATCCAGTGAAGTACTAGGCAAGTCTTTATCCTTTCAGCTATCTCCAAAGCAAAGTTGAAAGTCATATAAAGAAGCACATGCTGCAGATTTTTATATCGGCATAACAATCATACTGCATTGCACAACCCGTGTATAAAAAATATAAACTTGATCATGCATATAGCTCGGCAATCATAAATGCAGGTGACGTGCCGTTGCGGGGGAAAAAAGTGATGCTTCCACAAACTCTGTAGGTCATTTAGCAACCTTGATTACTTATAAAATGCCTAAGGCCTTTGCTCTAGCCCAGAGCCAACTCCGCATATCCTTGAATAGCAAGAGGAAAAATAAAAAAAAAACCCATTTCCTTGTCAACTCCACACATCCTTAAACAAACCAAGGCACTATGCACCCAACGGAACAATTTCAGTTGACTGACTACAGGCTAGGGGCGTTGAAGCTGGATGGATCTGCTCGAAAACATAAGCTGGTACAGCCTCTTCTGTACAGGAGGCAGAACTATACATTAGGTGACGAAAAAAATACTTGTGCCGAAAAAAATAAAAAAAATCAAAAAATCAAAAATTTCAAAACTTCACATAATGGCGTAGAATACTTGTGGTCATCCACTTTGAGTGAAATTTAAATTTTTTTAGGTGACGAAAAAAATAAAAAAAATAAAAAATTTCAAAACTTCACAGAATAGCTTAAAATACCTGTGGCCACCCACTTTGAGTGAAATTTAATTTTTTTTATATGCCAAAAAAAATAAAAATAAGCAAAAAAGTAAAATTTTCAAAACTTTACAGAATGGCTTAAAATACCTGTGGCCATCCACTTTAAGCGAAATTTAAATTTTTTTAGGTGCCGAAAAAAATTAAAAACTTCACATAATTGCTTAGAATACCTGTGGCCACCCACTTTGAGTGAAATTTAATTTTTTTTAGGTGTCGAAAAAAAATAAAAATAAGCAAAAAAGAAAAATTTTCAAAACTTCACAGAGTGGCTTAGAATACATATGGCCATCTACTTTGAGTGAAATTTAATTTTCTTTAGGAACCAAAAAAAATAAAAAATAAATAAATAATACCATTTGGGCATCTAAAAAAAATTAAATTTTACTCAAAGTGGGTGGCTAGAGGTATTGTAAGTCATTCTGTGAAGTTTTGAAATTTTTGATTTTTTATGTTTTTTTTCATCTAAAAAAATTTAAATTTCACTCAAAGTGGATGGCCACATGTATTCTAAGTCATTCTGTGAAGTTTTGAAATTTTTTATTTTTTGCTTTTTTTTCACCTCCAAAAATTAAAATTTCACTCAAAGTGGGTGGCCACAGATATTCTAAGCCATTCTGTAAAGTTTTGAAATTTTTGAGTTTTTGAATTTTTTTGGGCACCTTAAAATATTTAAATTTCACTCAAAGTGGGTGGCCACATGTATTCTAAACTATTCTGTGAAGTTTTGAAATTTTTGATTTTTTGATTTTTTTTAGGCACCTAAAAAAATTTAAATTTCACTAAAAGTGGGTGGCCACAAGTATTCTAAGCAATTCTGTGAAGTTTTGAAATTTTTGATTTCTTGATTTTTTTTGAAAAAATTCAACAAATTTCCTATTTTCCCGAAATCTAAATTTTTTTTATTTTTCTCGACATTTTGATGATTTTTTCTGGAATTTTTCAATTTTTTGGGATTTTCTGAATTTTTTTAAAGATTTTTATGAATTTTTCGGATTTTTTATTGTTTTTATTCCATTTCTAAAAAAATAGACTTTTGTTCCTGGAAATAGAATTTTCTGTTGTTTATCAACGGGTTTTTATTTCAGGAAATAGAAATTTTGTGCTGTTATCAAACGGGTTTCTGTTCTAGAAATAGAAATTTTTTGTCATTATCAAACGGGTTTTTTTTCTCAGAAACTCATCCAGGAACCAGAAATAGAAAAATCTATTTCTGGTTCAGAAACTCATTCCGGAACAGAATGGTTATCATTCGCTACCGAAGTGTTGAACTTGGAACCAAGAGAGGCTTGAGGATTAAGGAAGCTGTTGATCTTGAACGCGAGTCTTCTGATCAGACAAAAACTGAGACAGAAACGTGGGACCCATGATTTTGGTATTTCCGTTGTTCCAACCATCAAGGCTGTGGGTGAAGCCAATGGAGGGGTGGATTTAGCGCCGCAACTTAAAATTATTCCATGCATTACGTACTTTGGGCTTATCACAAAGGAACAGCTGATCCACGCTATTCTTTTTCTCTGTTGCAAGTCATGCTATTTCATCTGGTGGATTAACTGCGCATGAAGCAACATGGAGATGCCGTTTGCGCCATGCTATATATTCGTGCCTAAAGTTGATCATGAGGCACCCACCCAACCATTGTCTCCCAACAAAAGCATCAGCTCTACAACCTCCTCTCAAACACCCCTCAGACCCCGCTTTTGCCTTTTCAAAATGGCGGAAGCAGTGCTCTTCAGCCTTGCCACCAACATACTGGAAAGCATCGCCACCGAAATTGCAAAACCTGGAGGCTCCTTCGCTTCTCAGAAGGTCCAGTTGCTCTGCAGTGCCAAGGACGAGCTCCAAAGCCTTCAGGACACCGTCCAGACCATCCAAGCTGTGCTTTTGGATGCCGAGAAGAAGCAATGGCACGACAACCAGGTCAAGCTCTGGCTCAGGAGGCTCAAGTACGTGCTGTACGATGTACAGGACTTGTTCGATGATGTCGCAACCGAAAATCTGAGGCGGAAAGTCACTTCCGGCAACAAGATGTCGAAAGCGGTACGCGTTTTCTTCTCTAAATCGAATCAGCTTGCACACCGCCTCAGAGTGGCTAATAAGATTCGGGAACTTAGGAAGGAACTAGATCGGATTAAAAGTGATAAGGAGTTATCAAATTTAGAGCAGCATCTGAGCGAGGAAACAATCGGGAGAGGAAAGAAACCTGAAGTTCCCTCACCTGATGAAAAAATAATTGGTAGGGAAGAGGACAAAAAAAAGATCAAACAACTGTTGTTTGATTCCTCCTCTAGCCAGAGTGCGTCATTTGTTGCCATCGTTGGTAAAGGAGGTCTTGGAAAAACCGCACTTGCACGACTAGTGTACAACGATGGGGAGGTAAAAGAACATTTTGGGCTTAAGATGTGGGTGTGTGTATCTGATGTCTTTAACGTGAATGTGGTTATCAAAGAAATTCTTAAATCAGCGAAAGACAACTGTCAAGAGCGTGATGATGATGAGATGAAAAAGTTATTACAAGATCTTGAGAATAAGCCTATAGACCAATTGCCAAGTCTTCTTCGTGAGATTCTAGGCAGGAAGAAATACTTGCTTGTTTTGGATGACTTGTGGAATGAAGATCGGGATAAATGGTTGAAGCTTGGAGATTGGCTTGAGGGTGGTTTACAGGGAAGCAAGATACTTGTAACCACTCGTAGCCACAAAGTTGCAGAGGTCACGGATGCGAAATCGGTTATCCATGATCTAAATGGCCTATCTGAAGATAAGTCATGGAACTTATTCAGGAAAATGGCCTTTGGAGATGGGGTAGAATTATCAAACCCAGAACTGGAGGAGACAGGTCGAGATATAGTTGAAAAATGCGCCGGCGTTCCCCTTGCCATTAGAACTATAGGAGGCCTTTTGTACGGCAAAAATAAAGATGAATGGCTCCGTTACAAAGTGCGTGAACTTCCAGAAATACGAGAAATTGATGAGGTTGATGATGGAATTATGCAAGTACTCAAGTTCAGTTACGATCATCTCCCGTCATGCTTGAAACATTGTTTTGCATATTGCTCATTGTTTCCGAAAGATCATATCTACGAGAAAGAGATGATGACACATCTTTGGGTGGCACAAGGCTTTATTGAGTCACGCAACGGGGAGGATAACCTTGAAGAGGTTGCTGACAATTACTTGTCGGAACTACTGTGTAGGTCATTCCTCGACATTGCAAGCAAAGCCGTTGATGGCGAGGTTCTAACTTTCAAGATGCATGATCTCATGCATGATCTTGCCCAAAAAGTTGCTGGAGGTGAATGCAAGATTGTTAATTTTAAAGGAGAAGATAATGATAGCGGAATTCGACATGCGTCATTTAGTTCGGAGATTTTCTCTGAAGAGAAAATGGTGTCCACATCCAAATTGCGGACGTTTCTCTATTTGGGAGGTGAATACTCTGTACTCAACTCTTCCAAAGTTTTTTCTGGGTGTAGACACTGTCGAGCGTTGGGTTTGGACAATACAGATATTCCTCTCCTTCCTTCCTCCTTTGGAAAGTTGAAGCAGTTAAGGTTTCTTGATATTTCTGCAAACCAATCTATCCAGAGTTTGCCGGATTCAATTGCGGATTTGGTGAACTTGCAGTTCCTCAAACTCATTGGTTGTGAGAACCTTAAAACATTTCCAAGAGATTTGAGGAAATTGGTCAAGCTCATGTACCTCAAAATTGGGGACTGTGACTCACTGAGCCACCTACCACCCCTGAGTGAACTCCCTTCCCTACGGACGTTGATTCTCCTGAGCTTGGATGCGTTGGAGTTCCTTCAACAAACAAGTGACCCAGAACAATCTGATACTACACGCCCCTTCTTCCCATCCCTTGAGAAACTATCCCTTCGCTTCTGCAGCAACCTGAAAGGATGGTGGGGAAGAAAGCTAGTAATGGGAGCATATCAAAAGCATCGGTCAGACAATTCACTGTCATCCTTCCCAAAACTTTGGTCCGTGAATATAAGGGGCTGTCCCCACTTGAATTTTGTGCCACCATTCCCCCAGGTGGAATACTTGTCCACCGATAGCACGAAAATGTTGGAACAACAATTGATGGTCAATCCAAATTGCCCATCAGAAGCAACAGTGGGATCCACATTCATCCCTTTCTCTAAACTAAAGCGTCTAGTTCTTAAAGGTAGGGATTGGGAGCCCTCAACGCTCGAGACTCTACTCCGATTGGCCAGTAATCTCGAGTCCATGAGCCTCATCGAATGCGACCTAAGGAGTCTCTCTCATGGTATGCAGCACCTTTCCTTGCTCCAGAAACTCGAGATTTGGGATTGTGAAGGACTCGATTTATCATGCCAAGAAGACGAGCATGGCACCCAATGGCGATACCTTACGAAACTTCATGTTCTTAAAATAGGATATGTTCAGAATTTGGTGGCATTACCCGAGGGGATTCAGTATGTCACGACTCTGCAATCTCTCGAGATTTATCAATGTTGGAATCTGGAGAGTTTGCCGGAATGGATTGAAAATTTCTCTTTGCTCGAAAAGCTTGTATTATATGGCTGCCCGAGATTAGAGCGTTTGCCATTGGAGATGCGCAGCCTCACACGCTTGAAGGAAATGAGAATCGGTAATTGTCCAGCTCTAAAAGAGAGGTACCTAACAGATGGCCGTGAAGATTGGCCAGAGATTGCGCACATTCCGGTCATCGTTTGGGAGGATGGATCGTACGATTAGCATGGTAGAGGTAAGAGAAAAAGACTATCTATCACCAATATATATCAAGTGTTCCTTTCAACTATATTACCTTCTTTATTATTTAACTAATTTCTCTTCACTATATTATTATTCACAGTGCAGACTTTTATCAAAAGGAAAGAAGTTGTTCCTTGTTTTGTCGCGCGTGTGAAAAACCTCCTTCTATCTCCTCCATCACGGCCGCCGGAACTCCCTGATTCGCCACCACCTGGAAGGACCCCAGCGTCTCCGACGCGCGTCGCATCCTCTCGATCGCCTCCTTCCTCTTGGCCGGGTCGCGGTCGATCCCGCCGAGGTCGATGATCGGGAAGCTAAGATTCTCGGATCCGCCGCTCGATTCGGAGCTGCCTTCGGATGTCTTGTCCGGTCGGATGTAGAGATTCTGGGGATTTCGGTGATCCCGGCGTCGAGGAGGCCTTTGACGCCGGCTTTCAAGTCGTCGCTCGCTCTGTCGTGGCTCTGCTCACCGGAGTCGAAGGCCAAGTCGATGGTAGGAACTGTTCCTATCTCTCTCTTTCTCTTTACTGCAATTCAATTTTCACTGTGAATGTATATTTGTTGGGGATGTGTTTGGATTATGAATTGAATGTTATGGAGACATTTGGATTATGAATTGAGTGTTATGGAGACATTGCATTCCATGATGTGATGAGCAGCTTCTTTGTAGCTGATTGATTGAGAGAAGAGAGGAGAACAGTGACATCCATTGCGAGGTTCCGTTTGACTTTAGAATTATGCCTTTCATAAAAATGGAAGGAGAAAGTCATTAGCTTATGAGCTACCACCACTTGCTTAGAAAATGACAATGCTGTTTAATTATGGCTGTTTCTTTGAGGGACCGGGCGGCTAGTATACAAGTTTTGCAGTATATGGAAAAAAAAGATCTTCTAGGACAGAGTTGACCATGGATAGATGACATGACGATTCGATGTCGTCTTAGCCCTTGGATTAATAGTTGCGTCATCTTAATGCGATGCTGACTCGATTAGATCGATTGGGTTTCAGATGTCGTCGCGTTCGTAATGGAAACCTACTGTTTCATTGAAAATCTGGGAAGTGTACATAAATTTTTTCCTTGCGGTTGATTCTGGTTATTGTCATTGAGCAAGTTGGAGACCGGCAAGAGTTCCACTTTTTATCCTTGCCGCCGATATACAAAGTCGAAATCCGAAGCTGAACCAAACAGAAATGTTCTTGAAAGCGCAATTTTTTCTCGCGGTAGATTAGTGTTTCAACTGTCATATGAGTATCCAATCTAAAGATAGCATCTTTCTTTTGATTTTAAAGGGGTATGTGTTAATCTTCCTCTCCTTTTATTTTGTGTTCTGTTTTTGGTTCTGCTTTTGCTTAGAAAATATCTTTGTTTTTGATAGTTGTGTTCTCTTTTTCATTCTGCTTTTGTTTAAGATGTAATGGCAGTGTAGTTTGGAAGCATAGTCTCCTTTTAGATTGGTGGGTTGTCTGCTGATGTTAATTCCTCGATGGGTCCATAGAGCCTTGAAGATGGCCAAGGAGTGTCGCCGAAGAAGCATGCTGCCGACACTCTTGGGCCTCTTTTGTTTGCCAGACTCGGTGCTCAACGCTCTTAAACTGTTCGTTTATTATGAGCTGCGAATGCAACAATTAGTGAACCGTTCTCGATCTGTCAGTTCTCAAGTCAGAAATGAAGGAACATAATTTCTATGTACAACTGTGATTGCAATCTTAATGTTGATAAATACTATATCTGCAAAATATCTAGAACCAACATTGACCCCTCCCGTTAAAAAGCATTGTTTTCAATGTACATCTGTCTCATTCAGACAATTTTGAACCTGTCAATATAAGGCTAGCATGATTTAACAAAGTTAGAATCAAGTTTGGATGAGTCAAATAGCTGTGTTTGGATCCTTGTTGCACAAGCCATTTGGGAATGGTAAACGCGGATTAGTCTTACCAAAGAAAAGCGCAGATAGTAAAGACACGATGTTATTGCTACAGGGAAGATGCCATGGTAATTTAATCCGTGAATTCTCAGGAGCTCTTCAACTAACTTAGCATATGAGAAAGTACAGTAATAAGGGCGAGAAGAGGATCGCAGTGTGTCGACCAATCAAAACACGGTTTCAGATAAGTTTAGAGACGAACAATGATATCTGGCCAAAGCTACTTACCTGCAAAAGATCTCCGATGTTGATCACTAGTGCTCCAGGAATTGGAGGAACGTCGATCCACTGGTTCTCATGAAGCACTTTAAGTCCTCCAATTTGATCTTGGAGGCGAATTGTGAGGAAGTCGTCTGAATGCTTTGTCACACTCAGGGTCAACTCGGGCTGGGGGCATGGTGGATAGTAGTGGCACACGATCGCGTGTCCTTTTCCACACTCCATCTCCTTCAAGTGATTTGGGTGGAGTCCTAGCGCTTCTGATAAGAGCTCCAATAGACGAGAGCCCTGTCTCATCACATGCTTTGAGTACTTCATTAGCATTTCTCTGCCAAAGATATTGTGATGCATTGGAAAACTGAACTAGAGCTGCTGTCAAAGTATAGTTGGCAAGAGAATACTATAAAAGGTATTGATATTTTGTATCAAGTCAGGTGCAAAAGTTTGCTATTGCTACTGCTAGAACGCAAATAAAGTCAACCGTCAAGGAACATCCTTTTTGTCTACCCAAAAAGAACGGAACGAGCACCTCCAAGGTTCCCGTCGGTGAAAATGATCAATCATTGAGGATCGCCTTACCGATTCGTCTCATTGATTGAGACTAGATGCAAGATTATGTGCTATGACGGGAAGTGGGATTTAGGCAAGAAACTTTGTACACATTCAGCGGCAGCAATTGCCTTTGCCAAACTGAGCGAAGAATATGTACACTAACAAAATTAGATATTTCACCATTAATTTCGGGAGGGTTAAGCATACTATAACACTAGTTGAACTCTTGTGCTTTGCACGGGTTTGTATATGGTTTTGTTGTAATTTAGTTGGACCTTTGAAAAAGTATACAAGTTTTGACAAAACTATATATTTATGATATCGACATAGGGGAAAGTAAAATGAAAATTTCTAAGGAATGCATCTCTAAGTAGCTTCAGATATGTTAGTGTACATATTCTTATGATTTGAGGGTTTTTTTGTTGCCGGTAAATTTAGTGTTCAGATCACATTCGACGCTCGAGTTGCTCGTGCCATCCCTATGCGTGGTTGTAACCTTAACGGGTACACATCGACGTGTGTGATTTATAAATATCTATGAAATTTAATCTAATAAAGGATTTCAGTTCCTTGTGTTATGATATTCATAAATAAATTAATAAAAACAACGGTAGGTTTGTTTCGCAAAAAAATGTATGATTTGGAAGATATATTCTTAAGAAAGATCGCTTGTATCGCTTATAAAGATTAAAAATTGAAGAATTTTTTCATTTTTCACGAAAATGTTTAGTCATAAATCGTTGTCAATAATAAAAATATCCTTCGTTGACTAAGTATTTCAAGCGATACAAATGATCATTTTTCAAAACATATTTTTCAAATCATTTATTTTCGACGGAATAAAGTAAAATCACAAAATTGGATCATGACCCCGGCTTCTCTCAGCCTCCGGGTTGGGCTGGACCGACCCGAACAATATTTCGTTACTCTTGTGTTTAAGCCACGTTCGTTAGCAATCAACGCCAAACGTCGTCGCTCCTGCGCTTTCAGAGAGGGAGAGAGCGAGAGACGCTCGGACGAGAAAGCTCTTCGACCTCGCTTCGCTTCGCCATGGTGATCATCCCCTCTCTCTCTCTCTCTCTCTCTCTCTCTCTTCCAATGACTGTGCTTGAGTCGTGGAGCTTCTTCACTGAATCTCTCTCTGCAATTCCCCGTTTTTCTTCTTTTTTTTTTGGGGCAGGATTATCTGAAGACGGCGATTCCTTCGCAGCTCATCTCGGAGAGAGGCTCCAATCTCGTCGTCATCAACCCTGGTACTCGCCAGCCCACCCCTCTCTCTCTCTCTCTCTTGTATTCAATACCTCGATGCGTTGTGTACTGTAAGCAGCTTGAACGCGCCTCGTTTCCTTGGCTTTTTGTAGGCTCTGCGAACATCAGGGTGGGCCTTGCTCAGCAGGACGCGCCTTTCACCCTTCCTCATTGCATCGCCCGGTACACCTCCCAGGTCCCCAAGCCGAACGTGCAAGATCAGGTCCGACGATGTTCCTGACTTCCCTTTTTCTTTGTTGGGTTTTTCCGTGTGTGTTTGGTTTTGGCATTGTGGGGTTTGATGGTTTCTGAATTCGTTGGGTTTTCCTTATGCTTTTGTTGTTGTTGTTGTTGTTGTTTTGGAGTTTTTCAGATGCTCAATTCTCAAGTTACGACGGCGCAACACATGGAGCGAGAGAAGGCTTATGATATTGTGAGTTTGACTTCCTGCTGTGCTGTTTGTCTTTAGTTGTGGCAACATGTAAATGCCTCGAAATTTTTCATTTTTCTCAGTATTAACATGTGGGTTAGTGTACCCCAGATAGCATCGTTGTTGAAGATTCCGTTCTTGGATGAGGAGGTTGCGAACAGCAGCTCTTTCCAGCGCAAGTTTGCACGTTTTCCAAAAAAAATTGTTGACCTTGGTTCTTCATCACCCGAATTGAGCTGCTTTCTCGCTTCTACTTAATCTTTAAAATGATATGGCAGACTTAGAAGAGGCCTCTTGTGTGAACTTCACTGTTTTCATCGTCCAATTATCTTTTTATTCTGTCATTTGAGTTGGCTACTTTGAAGGTTCGGTATTTTAAGGCGATTCTCTCGCCTTGTTCTTTGTTTTCATCTTACGGTATTCAAGATAATGAAGCGTTTTCATTCTGTCCTCTGAGGAAGTTTTGTTTCTTTGATGGTTAGTAAAGGACTTGAACGATTTTGACGTCTTTTTGTTGATAACTCTAGTATTTTCTCTTCACTTGTTCTGTGTAAATCTATATTGCATCGTTATCCTTGAGGAGACTGCAGAGTCACTGCACCCTTGGATCTAGTATATTCTCGAATTTAAGTACTGTCAGCTCAGTTCCTGCGCCCCAAAAACATAATTTATAAATAATCCCACCCAGCGCAGCCCTAAAAAGAATAGAAGTCTGCCCAAAGCGCTTGGATGTCTATGTGTCTATGTAAGGTCGTGTATACGAATGGCCTTTGCTGCCTTTTATGTGTATTGTTTTGCAGTCGTCAGTTTCTAATGCATCATGATAGTTGATATTGGAGTTCGTCCATGATTGTGGCGGGCAACCCATTTCCTTGTCAATTTGTTTTCGCAGTGAAAGAAAAATTGACATACTTGTTTCACAGATGGGACATGTTGATGGTTATAATCCACAGAATGTTAGGAAAGAGTCAGTCTTTGCTTGGACGGATGTGTATGAGAAGCAAAGTTAGGCTCTGGTAACAGTTCTATATATAAATATTATTCTCAATTCATGGGTTAACGATTCTTCTTAGTTAGTTGACTTCACTATGGCAGACCTTTTACCTTTCTCTTTTTACTTGTGTCATCTGCTTCTACTTATTGGTATGTCATAGACTCTTCCCTTGTCTAAGATTTGATGTAGTATAGGCTTCTGTGGATTAAATAGTCATAACAATATAAGAATTTTAGCTTTTGTCTGGACTGGAGAATGTTTCCCATATACTAGATGCCTAGGATAACAACACTCTACCGAGAAACAGTGATCATCTCTATGTACATTTTGGAACTAAATAGAGAAATTATACAGTAGATATAAACTAAAAATGCCATATGATTGTTTTGTCTCTAAATTGGAGTATCAGAGATTTTAAGTAGCTTAGATCATTAACATGCCATGAAATGGAAGCTGTCATCCAAAATGTAGATAGTTAGCAGGATGGTGCACTCTGTCAATGTTTGGAACTTCGGACTGTCAACCTTCAATCATGTCTGAAGCTGATTTTACACGCAAATTCTTGTTCTGATTATTTCTCCAATGAGCATACTATATAGTTCTGCCTCCTGTACAGAAGTGGCTGTTGCTGCTTATGTTTTTGAGCAGAAGCATCCAGCTTCAATGCTCCTAGCCTGTAGTCCGTCTACTAAAATTGTTCTTTTGGTTGTGTTGGTGCCTCGGTTTGTTTACGGATGTATGGAGTTGATAAGGTAATGGGTTGTTTTCATTATTTTCTTGTTTATTCAAGGATATGTGGAGTTGGCTATCAGCTAGACAGCAAAGGTCTTGGCATTTTATAAATAGTTGACGTTGCTAAATGATCTACTGAGTGAAAAGTGGAAGCATTCTTTTTTTCCCTGCAACTGTGTCCCCTGCATTTATGATTGCCGAGCTCTATGCATTATCAAGGTTGTTTTTTTATACATGAGTTGCGTAATGCAGTATGATTATTTTTTATGCTGATATTAAATCTGCAGCAAATCTTTAGTATGTGCTTTTGCATATGACTTGCACCCTTGCTTTCCAGATAGCTCAAAGGATAAAGACTTGCCTAGTACTTCGTTGGACCAACATGAAGGAATGGATATGGACTTAGGTGAACGTAAATACAAAAGGTTCATTTGTGGCGAGGAAGCTCTAAAAATATCACCCACAGAGCCTTACTGCTTGCGCCATCCTATCCGAAGAGGTCATTTTAGCATTTCACAAGATTATCCTATGCAGCAGGTGAGATACCCCTAACTATTATCCGTTGAAAGAATTTGCTGTCTGATTATTACTTAGTTCCACTCTTTCACTCCAAGAAGGTGTAAATTAAGTACATTGGTTAGTTAGATTCATTGGTATCTATAGCCTCATCAAGAGTCATCTCTAAGCATCCAGCAAAATACCTGTAATATAAAGTATCGCATACATCTGCCACATAATACAATAGTAGTATGGATATGTTGAAGTAGAAAAAGAATGATATGGTAAGATGTTGCTCATCCCTATGATTTTGCTTAACAGGTATATGAAGATTTGCATACTATCTGGGACTGGATATTGGTGGAGAAATTGCATATACCCCAATCGGAAAGGTATATGTATTCTGCTACTCTTGTGGTGCCAGAGACATTTGACAATCGTGGTACATATTTGGATTGCTTTCATTATGTTCAGTTGTTTGTATCCACGAAGAGTTTACTATTTGTTTTTCCGCTTATGCATTTCATATGATTCTCTGTGTTGTAAGTGGATGCGTGAACATATGGTTGAGTATAAATAGAGAAATGATAGTGTGGTTTCTTCCCATGCTTCTTCTTTATGTTTTCCTGTGGTTCATTGGCTGATCTTACTTTGGTTTGTCTTTAGGAATGGATTTCTTTTTTCTAATCTATGATTGAGAAGTAGTATACCATTGCTGCAGCTAAAGATTACTCTGAAAAAGGACCTTTAGGATCTTCAGTTAATGTAATAATCTTTACGTTGACAATACGAAACTAAAATTTGCCGGGATTAATGCTTTTTTGCGTATTTTTTGCATCTTGTTGAGCAATGAGTTGCCTTTTCTTCAGCTCTACAGCATGGATCAGTAGTAAATTAAGTTGGTCATTTTTGCTTCAGGAGTTTATACCAGGCACAATTTGTGTGTCTGCATTAGAACTTTGGATATAAGGTTGAGTCGTATGTTTGATCTTATATCAACTTCTTCCCACCTTTTTTTTCAAGAACTCTATGATTCTTCAGATGGCTGTGTCAAATTCATATTGCACTATGGCATTTCTGTGAGAAAGCATAAGATAGAATAATTGTAAAAGAGTTATTGAGGGTTGCCACCCCTTTAAAAATGATTCTCAATAAAAGACCTCTTCAAAAATCAATGAATAAGTTTTGAAGTAAACTTCTCATTTGCTTCTCCTAGAAACTACTAACATTTCTCTCCTTTAAATCAGCAATAATACTGCTGGGGGAATTGAATGGAATCCTTCAATCTCTTCTTCTCCTTGCTTTATGTTAGCATGCATTCTTATCCATGCTCGGCGCTCATTCTTGACCATGGCTCTTAGGATCCTATCCGGACTGTAAGATCTTATTTGAAACTTAAGAAATGATTCAAATCTTATGTAGGACCTTAATTAGCTAGGATCTTTACGTGGTCCTGATCCTAAGCTAAAAAGTCAAAAATCAATGCAATCCCACCGATCCAATCTTGACATACTTCAACCTTGAATTATGTGTATCCTAAAATCTATGTAATGGGAATATAGATTTTTCTTGTGCATGAAGTATATAAGGATAGATTCCATCGTGCATAGTCCGACTTGAAATCACAGCAACCCATGCCCGATGCATGTCAGCTTGACATGAATCCCTAAAATTGCCACCACAAAATTGTCTTAATTTCTAACCAAATTGGCCAACTTGCTTTGCTTTTGCGTCCTTTTTCAAGCAAACTTTTTCGCGAGTGTGACATCCAATTCCAATTTCAGTCGATGAAAATCTATTTATCATGTAGTTCGCCGGATTAAGTACATCCACCATGAATCTTCTAATCATTGTAGCACTAGAGATTATTTTATCGACCATCCTCTATAACATTTTGTTCTTCAACTCTACAACTGCTTAAACAATATTAGAGTCCGTTTTCACATGCTTTTTTCATGTTCAAATGAAAATGAAAACAAAATAAAACTGAAAGATTTTCACTAAACAAACAGGGCAACTTGCTTTGCTTTTACTGCACTGTAGAGCCATGATATTTAGACTACTCGATTTCGGGCAAGTCAAGCTCGGAATCCATCCATTGGGACTCTTCCAAAAGTCATCCACGACAAACCTTTTCCCACTTGTGTTCGTGCTCCATCCATGCCAGCCACAAATAGAGTTTTCATGGACAGCTATGTGTCGGGGAAAGGTCCTGGCCCTTTTCCCGCCGTGTGTTTGTGCATTGATGGGGAGTGCATTCCACATTTGATGATGATTCCAAAGGCATATCTCGCAGAGGCTTTAATAATTTCAGCATTTCATGTCTAGTCGCTCTCTCCATGGTTCCGTATCACAATTATATATCATGCGAGACTTTGAAACCATCTTGGTAGAACAAACCAACGTCGCCTTCGAATAATGAAACTCGGGACCGCAATTTTTGGGTCTTTCCTCGTTTTTTTTTCCTGGACTCCCACGGGTCTTTCAGACCCACCTAACATTTCGACATGCATTTATCTTCCAATTTGTCAATCCCATTCCTCTAGTCGCATCCAAAAAAGAATCAACAACTCCAAGGGTAGAAACGCTTAACGTCCAGCACACAAATGAGAGAAGGTATGCTACATTGAAAATGACTACAACCGGAGAACCAGATTGTCTGTGTAAAATGCTTGTTTCCATCTCCCTCTCCCTCTCTCAAATAACTGCTCAGAGCGGGTACAACCGGTGAACCAGATGTTTATGGATGTCTGCATGGATGAAACCCCTAAAAGTTGTTGGTTGAAAGAATTCGAGTTCGATTCTTCCAATCAATTTGTATTTGATGTTCACAATTTAGTTAACATTTTTGTCACCGCTTAGATTTTAATTTTCTTTAATTCCATATATGAAAATAACATAAATACCACCAGTGATCATAATGCTTACAGTGTGCGCAAGTTGAACAAAATCATCCCAAATACGCCAAATTTAATTTAAATGAAAGCATGATTTCTTGTTACTGATATGAAATTATTGCTCGATGATAAATTATGGAACCATGTTGATGTGCATTTAGGATTGACAAATTTTCGACATATCAAATGTACAAGACAGATCACAGAAGCAAGGCTCAGGCTTGTGGAAAATGTATTTAACAGCGGCAATGTACCTCGTAAATATTCATTTCAACCCACCGGTCGATGTACGTCGGTTGCACACATTGTTCGTCAATTTGAAAACACACAAGTGTCATGATTTCTAACCAAACAGGGCAACTTGCTTTGCTTTTACTGCATCGTTTTTTGACAAACTTTTTTTGTAGATCGATATCCAATCGCAATCGATAAAAATCTATGTATCGGTACCTCATCACACAAAGTGCATCAACTACGATCTTCTAACCATACTAGCACTAGAAACAATTTATTGGTTGTCTTTCATAGCATTCTGCTCATCAGCTATACAATTGCTTAAACGATTTTGAAATTGGTTTTTTTTCGGAAATAGTTCTGGATATGCAACGAAACGCTTTTTAACATAGTATTTTCACGAAAATGAAAACAAAGAAGGGGCCAATTTTCTCTAAACAAACAGGGGCAACGTGCTTTACTTTTGCCTCATAGTCAAGCCATGAGATAGACTAGCTAGGGGAAGCCTATCGATTTCAGGCATGTGAAGCTCGGACTTCGTCCATTGGGACTCTTCCAAAAGTTATCCACGACATAGCTTTGCCCACTTTTGTTTCTGCTCCATCCGTGCCAGCAACAGATAGAGTTTTCATGGACAGCTGTTTGTCTGTACGTTGATGTGAGTGCCTTTCTCGAGTGGTCATCACGCTATTAATTTGGACTGCAATCCATGAAAATTGTTTGGTCAAAATCTGATATAACACTAGCTATTGAAAGAATATTGCTAGGAGTGTTAAGTATTCCTTTTTACTGTGGCATGCCTTGTTCTTAACAGATATTAGGAATTCTTGATATTGGCTGAGATGCTTGGATACATCGTATGGACTGGTTTCAGGATAGAATCCATGTTGGTAGCAGCAGAAAGTACAAGGACTCTTAGTATGTCCAAGCACAATCAACAAGTTACATAAATTCTGGAAAAGTTAAACAACTGGGGCTCATGACTACTTTTATTAAACCGGTCGATCGACATGCTCTCGTTATGGCTTGCGGGATATCCTAAGTTTATAGGAGCATTTCGCTACTGGATGTTGGAAACTGCATTTGAAGACATTGATTGCTGATCTTGATGGGTCTGAAAACAACTCATGTGTCTGCCAGGCAGCACCAGATGTTGAAGGTTCAAATCATTTTCACTTGAACAGAGGTTGGTGGCTTCCATTTCCACGTGATCCACGGGCAAGATCATAAGCCTGTTTTTGGGTCTATCCTCTTTTTTCTCTTTAGTCCCATTTTTGTAGACCCCACGCGTCTTTCTTTTGCACCGCCAAACATTTCCACAAGCTTTATCTTCTTATTGGTCAATTTCCATTCCTACTGCGGAGGTTGACTGAAAGGGAAGTCCGGACAATAATGTGATTGCCCCGTGAACTTTGCGATTGCCATGGGCATTGCTAGGGAACTTCATCATCGACTGCCAACACTTCTCTTCAGCTACGCATCCGCATAAACACCGCCATATTCACAATCACGAATCTAACTTATCTACTAACAACATGTGAATATAATTTCGTGCATCGTATCCCTATTCTCGCTCACCTTGTCCGTAACCAAGGAATATAAACTTTCTTGTCCTCTTATTAACAAAATACGAACTATCAAATATTTTGATAATAGAATAACCAACAAAGGTACATGACCAGACTTTTTCTGGAGTTCAACATCCGATTGCGATCGATGGAGACCTAATTACCCGGTAGCTCGTCGTTCGAAGTGCATCCGCTAGGAATCTCCTAATCAATGCCAGTACTAGAGAGTATTTTATCAGCAATCTCTCGTGACCTTCTGCTCATCAACTCTAAGATTACTTAAACAATTTTGGGTTTTCCTTTTCCTTTGGAAACTGTTCTCAATACGTGACCAAAGGCTTTTTCAATACTATAGGCTTTTGGTCTTTCCTCTTTCTTTCTTTCTTTAGTCCCTTTTTTTCTGGACCTCACACGTCTTTTTCTACGTTTTCATCTAGTGGAGCAACTAAGCATTGAAGTAACAAGGAGATGCGGTTGACCTTGCTACATATTCTTGCATGAAGTTGATCACGAGCACCACCAAACCATTGTTTCCGAACAAAAGCATCAGCGCTGCAACCTCCTCTCCAACACTCCGCAACCCCTGCTTTTGCTTTTTGGAAATGGCGGAAGCATTGCTCTTCAACCTCGCCACCGACATACTGAAACTATATTAGATATTATGACATCAAGACATACTCAAAATCTAATTAAAATGATTGCAATGCGGCAATACTATATGTGCAGTTTACAAAAACGTCTCAAACTATACGAATCTGTACCCTAATATACTTGAAGCTACTTAGAGATGCCACACTTAAAAAGTGTTCATTGTAAGATTTTCATCTTCGTCGATATCGTAAATATAAAAGCTTCATTGAACTTATATAATTTTCCAAAATACCAAATAACGAAAAAAAGAAGAAGAAGAGAACGGGTCAGACTTGGTTTATGTATGCTCCTTTGTTTTCTGGAATCTTCCATTTAAATAGAAGGAATTTTCTTTGGAGAATTTTAAGAAAAAATCCGATCCTTGGGTCAATAATGATGTGTCTGAGTGCCCATTATGGATTCTGGCGTTGTTATCTAGTATTTTGTTATTCTTTTTCCTTAGATACGTTTCAAGAGAAGTTCCAAAGCCTAAAATTGTTTCTCATTGCTCGTTGATTCTCTTCTTACAAAGTATTTCGTGCAATTCCTTCGGATGAAGTAATTGATACAGTCGAGGTTAGTTGTTGAAATGTGGAGATTAGCTGGTCATGCAGCTTCAATTTCGTCGTATGGGCAACAGCATGATTTAGTACAATGTTCAAATGTTAAATGGGTTGATTTTGTGCATGTTTTCTACTGATGGCATAAAGGATGTCATTCTATCTATGCTTCTAAGTTGTAGTTTGCCAAATTTCTTTAAAACGTGTCTTGTTCAAAGGTTGAGCCTTGGTTTTTTTTCTGGCGTCTCATTTCTATTGCATGACTTGAGCTGTTCACCATTCATCTCATGCTTTGAAGAGTTCGCCATAAAGGTTAATTAGATGTGCAGTATTCTTAAGCTATGGCTTACGAATTGTGCATGTGTGATGGAGAATTCCATTAGGACTGAAATTTGCGCACTTCTGGATTGAGCAAAATGAGTTGTAGTCTTTTGTTTAACGCTGCATATGAACTCTGTGTGTCTTCAACAAGTTTTACAATCAAGAACACATCCTACTTTTGTGCCATGGAAAGGTGGAGCGGTAAGATAAGTACTGTACCATAACATTTTCTCACTTTTTTTTCTGTAAGAAGATGAATTTTGTCTAAGACTCTGTATATTTGGTGAGTTGAGTATGAATCGTTTCCTTTCCTGCCTAATGGAGAATTGAGAGCTGTTTGTGTGAGAAACTCTGTTGGTTTTGCAATCAAGAACACACCCTACTTTTGTGCCATGGAAGGGTGGAGCGGTAAGATAAGCATTGTATCATAACAGTTTCTCACTTTTTTCTGTAAGAAGATGAATTTTGTCTTAGACTCTGTATATTTGGTGAGTTGAATATGAATCGTTTCCTTTCCTGCCTGATGGAGAATTGAGATCTGTTTGTGTGAGAAACTCTATTGGTTTCTTGATCAAAATATGCAAAATATATTCACCACCATCTCTTTTTCTGGCGAATGATTTGGTGGATACGGCAGACATTGCATTTTCAAAAAGCATGGGCCTTTCTTTTTCTTTTTGGTCAAAAGCATGTGCCTTTTTTGAAAAATGGCAGACATAGCATTTTCAAAAAGCATGTGCCTTTTTGAAAAATGGCATCTCAAAGACACATAAAAGCTTCTTCAAATAGAGTTATGCCATGTTTCCATGTTAATGCAAACTCGTCATATGACGGTGATTCTATCCTCAAGTCAGACCTTGTAATGGTTTCTTAAATAGTGTATTTGAACAATGGCAAACTTAAATTTTTTCACTAATATTGATGTCCATCATTCAAACTTGCGACTTCTTATTGACGACCTTACTTGTTTCATGAAGTTGCAGCCTTTCTCGAGTTGTTGTCACGCCAATAATTTGGAGGGCAATCTACAAAAATTATTTGGTCAAAATTTGATATAAAACTATCTTTTGAAAGAATTTTGCTAGGAGTGTTTTGACTGGTTAAGTATACCCTTTTTACTGCGGCATGCTTTGTTCTTAACAGATATTAGGAATTCTTGATATTGGCCGAGATGCTTGGATACATCATATGGACTGGTTTTAGAATGGAATTCATATTGGTAGCAGCAGAAAGTACAAGGACTCTTGCTATGTCCAAGCACAAGCAACGTGTTACGTAAATTCTTGAAAGGTAAAACATCTGGGGCTCATGGCTACTCCCATTAGACTAGTCAGCTGATATGCTCTCATTATGACTTGCGGGATATTATAAATTTATATGAGCATTTCGCTACTGGATGGTGGAAACTGCATTTGAAGACATTGATTGCTGATCTTGATGGGTCTAAATACACTTACGTGTCTACCAGGCAGCACCAGATGTTGAAGTTTTAAATCATTTTCACTTGTACAGCGATTGCAGCAGGTGCCTTCCCTTTCTACGTGTGATCCACGGGCAAGGTCATAAGCCTGTTAAAAATTGTTAGTGTCCGGTGTCTCATCTGAATGATTGCATAATGGCAGGGTGGTTATAACTGTTGCATTTATTCGTTTGACTTCAGGTATCTGATCAGAGTTTGCACATCCTAATTAATGAAGCTTCTCGTTGCAGTCGAAGTGGATCCAAAGTCAGCTGGTTTTTAAGAAAGAAAGCGGGTGCTTCTATGGCAATGTCCGGCAGCTGTGAAGGGTAATTGCTGATAGATTGCATTCTCCTTCCAATTTTGCCTTCAAGTTTCCTTTGTGCCCTCGGCAAGAGCATAGCTTCGTCTGCGTTTGTCACTTCATTTGATCGGAGTCGGAAGCAAATTGTTAGAGCATAACAATGGTATGTGGATCTCAGTGGTTGGCCTTTAGCTTTTCCTGTTTGAGTTACAGATTAAGGTATACAAAAATCGATCAGCTCATCGTTAAGTAATTTCTTCGCCCTCTCCTTTTTTAGCCGACGGAAGTAGAACAGGTGTGAATCTCAAGAGTGAATGAACAAAAGTGTGTTGGTGCGCGCCACCGCCCACCCCCTCTCTCTCTCTCTCTCTCTCTCTCTCTCTCTCTCTCTCTAATAGTTTTTCAATCTTCATCTGATATGGCGACCCCGTGGTGCTACATCAACATTGCATTGTCTGCAAAAGAGAGGAAACTTTAGTCAAATTAAGGGAGGAAATCACAATCAACATTACATGAAAGACCAGAGAGTAATGGTCCGCAGTATTCACGAAAGTCGAAACATTAAGCCTCATTCGTTGTTATGTTAAAGGGAGGAAATCAAATTATGGCAAATTGGGAATGGAATTGACCCAAATAAAGAAGATAAAGCGGGTGCAACTGTTTGGTGGTATGAAAGGAAGAAGCGTGGGGTCCTTGCAAATGTTGGGGCGGCGTGAAAGGCCTCCACGGCAGTCCCAAAGTCGTTGGGAGTTCACTTCAATCAACCTCCACAGCTGTAAAGCCTATTAATGGAATGCACATTGACAGTCTACCGAAGAAGACGGAGAAACCGAGCGCATCTGACTCTCTATAATAGCGGACGGTACAGACAGACACGGTTTTGAAGAAAAGAAATGGGAACGGTCATTCCTATTTCTTCTTTTTTTTCCTTTGAAAGAGTGAGTACTTAACACGGCATAAGTAATCGATTTTTTTCTCTAAATGAAGGGGGAGCCACCCCCATTCGAGTCGTCCTTTTTGGAATAGAAGGATCGAGCCAACAAGTAGCCTACAACTAAATCTCCAGTACTTTGACTTGTTTAAATATGGAATATTTCCGTATCGATTACACAGCTTGCGCGATTAACCTAATCACATTGCGTGATTTTGTAGTTTGAAATTTACAATTAGCAAGACAGTGACGACAGGAGTCCTTGTGCCATTTACATATTTGAGTTCTCAAACTTTTATTTGGATCATTTAAGAAGTAAAACTAGCATTAAAAAGCATTTGAGAGATTCGGTTTGCTCCATCAATTTCTATTGGACAGAAACCATAGCTGGCTTCTTTAATTCCCTATAGACATAATAACAGATTGTGTGAGAATAAGTCTACATGATCATGAATTCCCCACGTACAAAAGAGAAACTTAATTTATTAATTATCTTTTTTTTGCTAATCGAGTCATGGAAACATTTAGAGTTAACATGTGATATCATTAACTAAATTATCTCTTTGGTTTTATTGTCACAAAACATGGATGACCCCAGAATTAATCATTTCGATCTCCCAACTCTAAATTTTGCCCGTTTTCTTATATATAAAAATAATTATGGTGTTATTTTCTCATTGATCAAAAGAAGGATCCTCAAATATCTTGATATACGTATATAAAATCGTTTAAACATTACGTCGCAAAGGAATTCGTATGAATTGATATCTATAGAGAGTGCTACATATGTTGAAATTTTTTTTTTTTTAAAGACTAAGCGAGGTGCAATATCAAATTTTGACTCATAGAAATTTATAATGAGTAACTGAGCATGAAGTAACGTGGACACGCCGTTCGCCTTGCTATATATTCGTGCATGAAGTTGATCACGAGGCACCACCAAACCATTGTTTCCCAGCAAAAGCATCTGGTCTACAACCTCCTCTCAAACACTCCTCAACCTGGGCCTCTGCCTTTTGGAAATGGCGGAAGCAGTGCTCTTCAGCCTTGCCACTGCCATAATGAAAAGCATCGCCGCTGAAATTGCGAAACCTGGAGGCTCCTTCGCTTCTCGGAAGATCCAGTTGCTCTGCTGTGCCAAGGACGAGCTCCAAAGCCTTGATGGCACCATCCAGACCATCCGAGCTGTGCTTTTGGATGCCGAGAAGCAGCAATGGCACAACAACCAGGTCAAGCTCTGGCTCGGGAGGCTCAAGGATGTGTTGTACGACGTACAGGACTTGCTTGACGATGTCGCAACTGAAGATCTGAGGCGGAAGGTCACTTCCGGCAACAAGATGTCGAAAGCATTACGAGTTTTCTTCTCTAAATCGAATCAGCTTGCACACCGCCTCAAAGTGGCTAATCAGATTCAGGAACTTAGAAAGACACTGGATGTGATTGAAAACGATAGGAAGTTCCGTTTAGAGGAGCATCAGAGGGAGGAAACAATGGCCATCGGAAGAGGAAAGAAAGCTGAAATTTTCGCACCCGACAGAGCAATAATTGGTAGGGAAGAGGACAAAAAAAAGGTCAAACAACTTTTGTTTGATTCCTCCTCTAGCCAGAGTGTGTCATTTGTTGCCATCGTTGGTAAAGGAGGTCTTGGAAAAACCGCACTTGCACGACTAGTGTACAACGATGGTGAGGTAAGAGAACATTTTGGGCTGAAGATGTGGGTGTGTGTATCTGATGTCTTTAACGTGAATGTGATTATCAAAGAAATTCTTAAATCAGCGAAAGACAACTGTCAAGAGCATGATGATGATGAGATTAAAAAGTTATTGCAAGATCATGAGAATAAGCCTTTAGACCAATTGCTTAGTCTTCTTCATGAGAATCTAGTTAGGAAGAAATACTTGCTTGTTTTGGATGACTTGTGGAATGAAGATCGGGATAAATGGTTGAAGCTTGGAGATTGGCTAGAGGGTGGTTTATGGGGAAGCAAGATACTTGTAACCACTCGCAGCCACACAGTTGCAAAGGTCACGGATAAGAAATCAGTTATCCATGTTCTACGTGGCTTATCGGAAGATAAGTCATGGAACTTATTCAGGAAAATGGCTTTTGGAGATGGGTTAGAATCATTAGACCCGGAACTAGAGGAGATAGGTCAAGATATAATTAGAAAATGTGCCGGGGTTCCCCTTGCCATTAGAACTATAGGAGGCCTTTTGTACAGCAAAGAGAAAGATGAATGGCTCTGTTACGAAGGGCGTGAACTTCCAGAAATACCAGAAATTGATGAGGATGATGATGGAATTATGCAAGTCCTCAAGTTCAGTTATGATCATCTCCCGTCATGCTTGAAACATTGTTTTGCATATTGCTCATTGTTTCCGAAAGACTATGCCTACAATAAAGAGACGATGATACATCTTTGGGTGGCACAAGGCTTTATTGAGTCACCCAATGGGAAGCATAACCTTGAAGAGGTCGCTGACAATTACTTGTCAGAACTACTGTGCAGGTCATTCCTCGATGCTGCAATCAAACGCAGTGATGGCAAGGTCCTAACTTTCAAGATGCATGATCTCATGCACGATCTTGCCCAAAAAGTTGCTGGAGGTGAATGCAAGATTGTTGATTTTAAAGGGGGAGATAATGATAGAGGAATTCGACATGCATCGTTTGTTTCAGAGATTTTCTCTCAAGAGAAAATGGTGTCACTGCTCAAAACATCCAAATTGCGGACGTTTCTCTATTTGGGAAGTGAATCCTCTATACTCAACTGTCACAAAGTTTTCTCCGAGTGTAGACATTGTCGAGCATTGGGTTTGGGCAATACAGATATTCCTCTCCCTCCTTCCTCCTTCGAAAAGTTGAAGCAATTAAGGTTTCTTGATATTTCTGCAAACCAGTCTATCCAGAGTTTACCGGATTCAATCACGGATTTGGTGAATTTGCATATCCTTAAACTCTTTAGATGTAGGAACCTTAAAACATTGCCAAGAGATTTGAGGAAATTGATCAATCTTAGGTACCTCTCAATTAAATGGTGTAAGTCACTGAGCCACCTACCATCCCTGAGTGAACTCCCTTACCTAAGGACATTGATTCTCGTGGGCTTAGATGTGTTGGAGTTCCTTCAACATACAAGTGACCTAGAGCAATCTGATACTACACGCCCCTTCTTCCCATCTCTTGAGAAGCTGTCCCTCCAATTCTGCAGCAATCTGAAAGGATGGTGGGGAAGAAGGCAAGTAATGGGAGCATATCAAAAGCATCGGTCAAACAATTCACGGTCATCCTTTCCAAAACTTTGGTCCGTGGAAATAGTGGGCTGTCCCCACTTGCATTTCGTGCCACCATTCCCCCAGTTGGAATACTTGTACATAAATAGCACGAAAATGTTGGAACAACAATTGATGGCCAATCCAAATTGCCCATTAGAAGGAGAAGTGGGATCCACATTCATCCCTTTCTCAAAACTAAAGCGTTTATATCTTGGTGGCAGGGATCTGGAGCCCTCGAAGCTCAAGGCTCTACTCCGATTGGCCAGTAATATCGAGTCCATGGGCCTCTTCAATTGCAACTTAAGGAGTCTCTCTCATGGCATGCAGCACCTTTCCTCGCTCCAAGAACTCAACATTTATGATTGTGAAAAACTCGATTTATCGTTCCAAGAAGACGATCATGACAACCAATGGCGATTCCTTACGAAACTTCGTGTTCTTAAAATCAGACATTTTCTAAATTTGGTGGAATTACCCGAGGGGATTCAACATGTCACGACTCTGCAATCTCTCGAGATTTTTGATTGTCGGGATATGGAGAGTTTGCCGGAATGGATTGGAAATTTCTCTTTGCTCGAAAAGCTTGTATTATCTGACTGTCTGAGATTAAATCGTTTGCCATTTGCTATGCGCAACCTCACACGATTGAAGGAATTGAAAATCCTTCATTGTCCAACTCTGAAAGAGAGGTGCCTAACAGATGGCCGTGAAGATTGGCCAAAGATTGCGCACATTCCAGTCATTGTTTGGGAGGATGAATCGTAACTATTAGCATAGCAGAGGTACGAGAAAAGACTTAAACAACTATATATCAAGTGCTCCTTTCAACTATTTACCTTCTTTATTTAACTAATTTCTCTTCACTATACTATTCGTAATGCAATATTTAGCAAAAGAAGAAAGTGTCCCTCCAGTTCGTCTTCTACAGGTCAAAATCGATGTTGTACACCACCTGCCTCGTTATGTCGCGTGTGTAGAACACCTTCTTTGCCTCGTCGTCTTGGACGTAGAACCTCCTCACCCCCTCCTTCGTCTCCGCCATCATGACAGCCGGAACTCCATGATTCACCACCTGGAAGGACCCCAGCGTCTCCGATGTGTGTCGCATCCTCTCAATCGCCTCCTTCCTCTTGGCCAGGACGCAGTCGATTCTGCCGAGGTCGATGATCAGGACGCTGAGTTTCTCAGAGCCGCCGCTCAATTTGGAGCTGTCTTCAAATGTCTTGTCCGGCGGGATGAAGATTATGGGGATTTTGGTCATCTGGGAGTGACAAGGCCTTTGACGCCGGCTTTCGAGCTCTAGCTCTGCTCGCCGGAGTCGGAGGCCAAATCGAGGCATTGTTCCTCTCTCTTTTTGAGAGAGTATCCAACACAGTTTCATCTAAAGATACCATCTTTCTTTCGATTTTAGAGGGGTATGTGTTAATCTTCCTCTCCCTCAATTTTGGGCTCTCTTTTTGGTTCTGCTTTTGTTTAGAAAATGATCTTTGTTTTTGAGAGTTGTGTTGGTGCTCATAGTTCTATCAATTGAAGCGATATAAGCGTCAGTGACTGAGAAGTGAAGAAAGGCAATCCTGTTCTGTGGTAGTTTTACATAGATGAACATATGGACAGACTTTTATCTTCAAATACAAACATCAATAAGACCACATTAATAAATTTACACGGTCTACAGCTTGAAATCAGGAAGTGCAGAAGCTCCATCTAGGCCTTTGAAAATGGAATGGGCAGTGTAGTTTGGAAGCGTAGTCTCCTCGTAGATTGGTGGGTTGTCTACTGATGCTAATTCCTTGATGGGTCCATACAGCCTTAAAGATGGCCAAGGAGTGTCGCAAAAGAAATACGCCACCGACACTCCTGGGCCTCTCTTGTTTGCCATGACTTGTAGTTAAGAGCGGTGAATGCAACAATTACAGAATATAACAATTAGTAAACCGTTCTAGAACCGGTCTTACTGTAGATAAATATAAAAATTGCAGAATATCTAAAACCGACATTGACCTCTCTTGTTAAAAAACGTTGTTTTCAACATACATCTGTGTCATTCAAACAATTTTGAATCTTTCAATGTGAGGCTAGCATGATTTAACAAAGTTAGAATCAAGTTTGGATGAATCAAATAGTTCTATTAGGATACGTGATGCCCAAGGCATTTTCAAATGTTAAACGCAGATTCGTCTTACCAAAGAAAAGTGCAGATTGTGAAGACATGATGTTATTGCTACAGGAAGATGCCAAGGTAATTTGATTCCTGAATTCTCAAGAGCTCTTCAACAATTGGAGGAATGTCGAGCCACTGGTTCTCAGGAAGCACTTGAAGTCCTCCAACTTGATTTTGGAGGACAATTGTGAGGAAGTCATTGTCTGAATGCTTTGTCACACCCAGGGTCAACTCGGGCTGTGGGCATGGCGGATAGTAGTGGCACATGATCGCATGTCCCTTTCCACACTCCATCCCCTTCAAGTGATTTGGGTGGAGTTATGGGGCTTCTAATACATGCTCAAACAGACGAGACCCTAGTCTCATCACATGCTTTGAGTACTCCATCAGCATTTCTCTGCCAAAGATATTGATATGCATCAGAAAACTGAACTAGAGCTGCCGTAAAAGTATGGTCGGTTGGGACCATAAAGGGTATTGGTATCTTGCATCAACTTGGGTGCAAAAGTTTGGTACTGCCACTGCTAGAACGCGAATAAAGTGAACTGTCGAGGAACATCCTTTTTTTCTACCCAAAAAGAACGGAACGAGCACCTCCGAGGTTTTCGTCGGTGAAAATCAATCATTGAGGATCATCTTACTAATTCTTCTCATTGATTGAGACTAGATGCAAGAGTATATGCTACGTCGGGGAGTGGAATTTAGGCGAGAAACTTTGTACACATTCAGCATTAGCAATTGCCTTTGTCGACTGAGCATAAGAACTGGGCACTTTCGTTTCCTGAGTGTTCAACACCTACTCCGGCCGATTCAATCGAAAAGTACGCGAATAACTCAAGTTTCATACAATTGCTAGTTTAGCCCTTGATCTGTTGAAGAAAATAGAAAAGGCAATTAAGTATCATAGAGTGAAAACCATTTACTTTGTACCTATAAGAACTACTGCAATTCTTTTGCAAACTATCTTCGTTGTTCATGAATTTTTCCTTTTCGAAAGGTGAAAACGCAACAGAAGCCCATTGGCTCACCTGCAAGCTTCGGGCAACTCCTCAGGCTAGGAAGGCTTCGGCCCCATGAAGCAAAATATACTGCCCCTCCAATCAACAACGACTGAATTATAAAGCCCCATGTTGCTGTTGTATATGATCCTCTTTGCAAGATCTCTAGCGTAAAATTCTTTTTTGGCCTCCATCTCATGCTCGAAGAACCTGCGCGACCCGTTGATTGCCTCCTCCAAGAGGCTCTCAGGGACCCCATGGTTGATCACCTAGAAGAAACCCCATTTTTACAATGCTTGCGCAATATTTTGCAACATCTCGTTGTGACGGGTGGGGCCTCTATTCACGCATCCGGGGTCGATCACCGGGATCTCCACACGATCCTCCCTGCAGGCCACTTTGTCGGGCGGTCAGACGAATATGCAGGGGACTTGGGTCATCCCAGCATCCACAAGGCCTTTGACTCCAGCTTTCATCTCGTCGAATGCTCTCAATTCGCTCGCTCGGTCATGTTCGTCGTCTCAAATCTATCCAGAGTCTGCCGGATTCAATCACGGATTTGATGAACTTGCATACCCTTCAAATCTCTAAATGTAAGAACCTTAAAACATTTCCAAGAGATTTGAGGAGATTGGTCAAACTTAGGCACCTCTCAATTGATGGGTGTATCTCACTGAGGCACCTACCACCCCTGAGTGAACTCCCTTCCCTAAGGACATTGATTCTCTTGAGCTTGGATGTGTTAGAGTTCCTTCAACAGACAAGTGACCAGGAGCAATTTAATACTACACACCCCTTCTTCCCATCTCTTGAGAAACTGTCCATCTGCTTCTGCAGCAACCTGAAAGAATGGTGGGGAAGAAGGCAAGTAATGAGAGCAGATCAAAAGCATCGGTCACACAATTCACGATCATCCTTCCCAAAACTTTGGTCCGTGGAAATAAAGCACTGTCCCCACTTGACTTTCATGCCGCCATTCCTCCTAGTGGAATACTTGTACACAAATAGCACGAAAATGTTGGAACAACAATTGATGGTCAATCCAAATTGCCCATCAAAAGGAGTAGTGGGATCCACATTCAACTCTTTTTCTAAACTAAAGCGTCTAGTTCTTTATGGTAGTGATATGGAGCCCTCGATGCTCGAGACTCTACTCCAATTACCCAGTAATCTCGAGTCCATGAACCTCTACTTTTGCAACCTAAAGAGTCTCTCTCGCGGCACACAGAACCTTTCCTTGCTCCAGAAACTCGACATTTATGATTGTCGAGGACTCGATTTATTGTGCCAAGAAGACGAGCATGGCACCCAATGGCGATTCCTTACGAAACTTCGTGTTCTTAAACTCAGCTGTCTCGAGGATTTGGTGGCATTACCCGAGGGGATTCAACATGTCACGACTCTGCAATCTCTCGAGATTTCTCACTGTTGGAGTCTGAAGAGTTTGCCGGAATGGATTGGAAATTTATCTTTGCTCGAAAAGTTCGTATTATCTGGCTGCCAAAGTTTAGAGCGTTTGCCATTAAAGATGCGCAACCTCACACGCTTGAAGGAATTGAGAATCTGTGATTGTCCAGCTCTGAAAGAGAGGTACCTAACAGATGGCCGTGAAGATTGGCCAAAGATCCGCACATTCTGGTCATTGTTTGGGAGGATTGATTGTAACCATGAGCTTAGTAGATAGGTACGAGAAAAGACTATCTATCACACCTTCTTTATTATTTAACTAATTTCTCTTCACTACCAAGTTCGCCACCGACGCTGTGTCCTGTGCAGGTCGAAATTGCTGTTTGTACCACCACCTTCCTCCGTTATGTCGCGCGTGTAGCACACCACCTTTGCCTCGCCGTCTTGCTCGTAGAGAACCTCCTCACTCCCTCCTTCTATCTCCTCCATCACGGCTGCCGGAACTCCCTGATTCGCCACCACCTGGAAGGACACCAGCGTCTCCGACGCGCGTTGCATCCTCTCGATTCGAAGCTGTCTTCGTTGTCCGGTCGGATGAAGAAATTCTAGGGATTTCGGTGATCCCGGCATCGAGGAGGCCTTTGGCGCCGGCTGTTGGGTCGTCGCTCGTTCTGTCGTGGCTCTGCTCACCGACGTCGAAGGCCAAATCGATGGTAGCAACTGTTCCTATTTCTCTCTCTGTCTCTCTCTCTCTGTCTCTGTCTCTCTCTCTCTCTCTCTCTCTCTCTCTCTCTCTCTCTCTCTCTCTCTCTCTACTGCAATTCAATTTTCACTGTGAATGTGAATTTGTTGGGGATGTGTTTGGATTATGAATTGAATGTTATGGAGACATTTGGATTATGAATTGAGTGTTATGGAGACACTGCATTGCATGATATGATGAGCAACTTCTTTGTAGCTGATTGATTGAGAGAAGAGAAGAGAACAATGACATCCATTGCGAGGTTCCGTTTGACTTTAGAATTATGCGGTTCATAAAAATGGAAGGAGAAAGTCATTAGCTCATGAGCTACCACCTCTTGCTTAGAAAAAATGACCATGCTATTTAATAATGGCTGATTCTTTGGAGGAACGGGCGGCTAGTACACAAGTTTTGCAATTTATGGAAAAGAAATCTGTTAGGACAGAGTTGACCATGGATATATGACATGACGATTCGATGTCGTCTTGGCCCTTGGATCAATCGTTGCGTCGTCTTAATGCAATGCTTACTCGATTACATCAATTGGGTTTCAAATATGTCGCGTTGTAGTGGAAACCTGCTGTTTCATAGAAAATCCAGGAAGTGTACATAGATTTTTGCCTTGCGGTTGATTCTGTTGAGCAAGTTGTACTTTTTTTCCTGCCACCAATATACAAAGTCGAAATCCAAAGCTGAACCAAACATAAATGTTCTTGAAAGCGCAATTTTTTCTCATAGTAGATTAGTGTTTTAACTATCATATGAGTATCCGATCTAAAGATAGCATCTTCCTTTTGATTTTAAAGGGTATGTGTTAATCTTCCTCTTCCTTTATTTTGTGTTCTCTTTTTGGTTCTGCTTTTGCTTGGAAAATGATCTTTGTTTTTGGGAGTTGTGTTCTCTCTTTCATTCTGCTTTTGTTTAAGATGTAATGGGCAGTGTAGTTTGGAAGCATAGTCTCTTTTTAGATTGGTGGGTCGTCTGCTGATGTTAATTCCTTGATTGGTCCAAACAGCCTTGAACATGGCCAAGGATTGTCGCCAAAGAAGCATGCCACCGACACTCTTGGGCCTCTCTCGTTTGCCAAACTCCATGGACGCTCTTAAACCAGTTGTTTGTTATGAGCTGCGAATGCAACAATTAGTGAACAGTTCGATCTGTCAATTATTTGGTCAAAAATGAAGGAACATAATTTCTATATACTACTATGATTGCAATCATAATGTTGATAAATATAAAATCCGCAGAATATCAGAACCGACATTGACCCCTCCTGTTAAAAAACATTGTTTTCAACATACATCTATCTCATTCAGACAATTTTGAACCTGTCAATATGAGGCTCGCATGATTTAACAAAGTTAGAATCAAGTTTGGATGAGTCAAATAGCTGTGTTTGGATCCTTGATGCACAAGCCATTTGGGAATGGTAAACGCGGATTAGTCTTACCAAAGAAAAGCGTAGATTGTGAAGACATGATGTTATTGCTACAGGGAAGATGCCATGGTAATTTAATTCCTGAATTCTCATGAGCTCTTCAACTAACTTGGCATATGAGAAAGTACAGTAACAAGAGCGAGAAGAGGATCACAGTGTGTCGACCAATCAAAACACAGTTTCAAAAAAGTTTAGAGATGAACAATGATATCTGGCCAAAGCTCCTTACCTGCAAAAGATCTCCGATGTTGATCACTAGTGCTCCAGGCATTGGAGGAACGTCGATCCACTGGTTCTCATGAAGCATTTGAAGTCCTCCAATTTGATCATGGAGGAGAATTGTGAGGAAGTCGTTGTCTGAATGCTTTGTCACACCCAGGGCAACTCGGGCTGTAGGCATGGCAGATAGTAGTGGCACACGATCGCGTGTCCCTTTCCACACTCGATCTCCTTCAAGTGATTTGGGTGGAGTCCTAGCGCTTCTGATAAGAGCTCAAACAGACAAGAGCCCAGTCTCATGGCATGCTTTGAGTACTCCATCAACATTTCTCTGCCAGAGTTATTGCGATGCATCAGAAAATTGAACTCTAGCTGCCTTAAAAGTATGGTCGGTTGGATTCCCAGAAAATACTGTAAAGGGTATTGATATTTTGTATCAACTCAGGTGCAAAAGTTTGCTACTGCTACTGCTAGAATACGATAAAGTCAACCGTTGAGGAACATCCTTTTTTTCCACCCAAAAAGAACGGAATGACCACCTCCAAGGTTCCCGTCGGTGAAAATGGTCAATCATTGAGGATCGTCTTACTGATTCGACTCATTGATTGAGACTAGATGGAAGATTGTATGCTATGACGGGAAGTGGAATTTAGGCGAGAAACTTTGTACACTTTCAGCATTAGCAATTGCCTTTGTCGGCTGAACGAAGAACTGGGCACTTTCTTTTCCTGAGTGTTCAACACCTATTCCAGCCAATTCAATCGAAGCATTATGCGAATAACTCAAGTTTGATACAGTTGCTAGTTTAGCCCTTGATTTGTTGAAGAGAATAGAAAAGAAATTTAAGTTATGATACAGTGAAAACCATTTACTTTGTACCCATATGAACTACTGCAATTCTTTTGCAAACTATCTTCGTTGATTCACTTTGTGAACCTGTTCATGAATTTTTCCTTTTCGAAAGGAGAAAAACGCAACAGAAGCCCATTGCCTCACCTGCAAGCTGCGGGCAACTCCTCGGGAGGCTCCGGTCCCATGAAGCAAAATATACAGCCTCTCCAATCAGCGACGACTGAATCGTAAAGTCACATGTTGCTATTGTATATGGTTGAGTTGTATATTTGATCTTATATCAACTTCTTCCCACCTTTTTTTTTCAAGCACTCTATAATTTTTCAGACGGCGGTGTGTCAGATTCATATTGCAATATAGCATTTCTGTGAGAAAGCATAAGATAGACTAAATGTCGAAGAGTTGTAGAGGGTTGCCACCCCTGTTAAAATGATTCTCAATAAAAAAATCCTCTTCAAAAATCAATGAATAAGTTTTGAAGTAAACGCCTCATTTGCTTCTCCTATAAACAACTAACATTTTTCTCTTTAAATCGGCAATAATGCTGCTTGGGGAATTGAATGGAATCCTTCAATCTCTTCTTCTCCTTGCTTTTTGCTAACATGCATTCTTATCCATGCCTGTTAGGATCCAATCCGGACTGTAAGATCTTATTTGAAAGTTAAGAAATGATTCAAATCTTAAGTGGGACCTTAATTAGCTAGGATCTTTACATGGTCCTGATCCTAAGCTATATATAAAGTCAAAAAATGATGCGATCCCACCGTGCTTAGCTCGACTTGAAATCACAGTAACCCACCGCCCGATTTATGTCAGCTCGACATGTATCCCTAAAATTGCCACCACAAAAGTGCCCTAATTTATAACCAAATTGGGCAACTTGCTTTGCTTTTGCGTCCTTTTTTAAACAAACTTTTCGCGAGTTCAACATCCAATTACAATTACAATCGATGAAAATCTATTTATCAGGTAATTCAAGAATCTTCTAATCATTATAGCACTGGAGATTATTTATCGACCATCTTTTTATAACTTTTGTTCGTCAACTCTACAACTACTTAAACAATTTTGGAGACCATTTTCGCATGCTATATTCATGTTCAACTGAAAATGAAAACAAAAAACTGGTAGATTTTCACTAAAAAATCAGGGCAACCTGCTTTGCTTTTACTGCATCGTCAAGCCATGATATTTAGACTAGTCGATTTCGGGCATGTCAAGCTCGGAATCCGTCCATTGGGCTCTTCCAAAAGTCATCCATGACAAATCTTTGTCCACTTGTGTTCGTGCTCCATCCGTGCCAGCCACAAATAGAGTTTTCATGGACAGCCGTGTGTCAAGAAAAGTGTCGGAAAAGTCCTAAATCATAAAGACATTGATGGGGAGTGCATTCCACATTTGATGATGATTCCAAAGGCATATCTCATAAGGGCTTTTAATAATTTCAGCATTTCATGTCCAGTCACTCTCTCCATGGTTCCATATGGCAATTATATATCACGCGAGGCTTCGAAACCATCTTGGTAGCACAAATGAATGTCGCCTTCAAAGAATGAAGATGAATTTTGTCTAACATTTGCACATGCTCATCTTCATATTAGTCAGTTCCATTCCCACTGGGTAAAATTCGATCTCAAGAGAAAATGAACAAAAGTGTGTTGGCGCCTCTCTCTCTCTCTCTCTCTCTCTCTCTCTCTCTCTCTCTCATATTGTTTTTCAATCTTTTTCTGATGTGGTGGTCACGTGGTGCTGCATCAACATTACAATGTCTGATAAAAAGAGGAAACATTACTCAAATTAAGGGAGGAAATCATGATCAACAGAACAAGAAAAAACCTGAGTAACAGCCCACAGCGGCTCCATATGCACGAAAGTCGAAACCTTAAGCCTCATTTGTTGTCATGTTTTATGGGAGGAAATCAAATTATGGCAGGTGGGAATGGAATTGACCCAATAAGAAGACAAAGCAGGTGCAAACGATAGGTGGGATGAAAGGAAGACAGCGTTTGGTCCATGCAAATGTTGGGATGGCGTGAAAGGCCACCACGGCAGTCCCAAAGTCGTTGGGAGTTCACTTCAATCAACCTCCTTAGCAGTGAGCCTATCAATGGCATGCACAATGACACGGTTTTGAAGAGAAGAAATTTGAATTGTCACTCCTGCCTGGGCCTATGGGCCATGTTACATACGTTGAAACTTCTCGTGGTATTACATGAAAATTAAAGCGGCAAAATTTCGTTCCTTGTGCATATACTAATGAAAAAACAATCTATTTCCAGACATATCAAGCAACTATTCTTTCTTCTTTTT